TACGCTTGCTTTTATGTGTGTGCGTGCTGCGCCCAGTTCCGTTCCCGCTGTGCCACCGTTTTGGTTCCACGTCTGTTGCATCGTTTTTGTTGCCCATTACCCGCCTGGCCTGTCACTTCCGCGCTCCGTTAATATTTATGTTTTGCCAACGCTTGTCTTCGCTCTTAACGCAACTTTATCATCGTCTACGTCTGCAGCAGGCATGAGAGAGAACCCGGGAATCGGAATCCTGGGAGCCTGGGTCGACCATCGCAACATTATCATGAAGGTCTCAAAAGAGAAACTTTCGCCACTGACTCACTCACTCGGTGCTTCCTGCTCTGCCTCGCTTTAGTTGACTTCCGGCCGTGCACTTTGCCGTCCGGCGGACATTCAATTTATCTTTATTCGAGCGAAAGGCAAACTGCTAACATATGTTTCCCGCCCCCGGTTTCCGCCATTACCATATGGTCCAGGCCCGTGTCCTGATTTCATTAGACTTTAAATCGGTCGGTTGGTCGAGTATCTGCATCGTTCGCACCTTGGCCAGCCTTGGGGTCACTTTACGAGCGAGCATTAAATTTTATATATTTTCTACGTTTCGCTTTGGCAGCGAGTTTGGGCCATAAAAAAAAGAATGGCGCTTGCCAAAAACACCCTGGGTTCTGGCCTAATTGACCGCCAATTGGCACGGCAGAAGTGGTGCGGTGGTACGACACGGGGTCGGGAAAAGTGCAACCAATAAAATTGGTGTTAAGTTGATTGGGCCTTTAGATGGGCTCTCTGATTAGCGATAGATACGGAAAGCGGATAGCAATGGTATCGAAAATCTTGAATTTTCGCCAATTACTGAAGATATAGAAAAATAATAGAAGAAAAGAGCAGAAAATTGAATCTTTAGCAGAGGTACATCAATGGATTACTATCTATCTTTGAATATTGAATATTTAACTGGATATAATCGAACTTGTCAATATGTGAATGTGTTTAAAATACTAATTTTCCAGCATTTAAGGAATATTTCCACATGTTGGTAAGACAATATGCTAAACAGTAAGCTATAATTATTATAGTTTTACAACATAGTTAAATTCGTTGTAAGTTACTTGTATTTATACTCCATAAACCTCATTATTCTCATAAATTCTTTTCTTATCTTCATCATATCACCCCATAAATCATTTTTTAACCTTTAGAAATCTAATTAAATTCCAAAAACTAATCTAGCATGAGCGTGAGTAAACACTAAATTAAACCACTTGCCATTTAATTCTGACTATGTGGGCGTGTAAATTTCCCTGGCCAACAATTAAGTAGTGAAAAATTCTCTGATAACCACTTAATTTGCATAAAAATTACTATTTAAATGCGGCACGAAACAAACAAATGCCCAGAAGCTATAAATATTAATTTTGTGGCATAAACAATGACACATACAAAGCCGCACCGGTGGTCTTGATTTAAACACAGATATAATACCAGGAAAACAGGAGTCTAAAAAAAGGGACAGTGTAAATTGAATTAAATGCGACAGCTGAAATAATATACACAAAACAAATAGTTTCGACTGGGTGGTGGATTCGAGGAGGTCCGGTGACCACCCACGACGTAGGCGGCAATTAAGGAGCCGGAGCAGGAGCCGGACCCGAGGAGCTTGGAGTGAAATTGCACACACACCGAGTAGCAATCACCGCGCAGGGCTGACCACAGAAATTGTTGCTTTCTTTTTTTGGGCGGACCAAATGGAGACCGTTTATTTCGCTGGCAAAATGGAAAATGGGAAATGTCAAATGGCGAGCGGTCGAACGAGACATCGTTAGCACCCACGCTGTTGGACTATATCCTGGCAATGGCGATGGCGATGGCGATATGTCCGGCCGTGTCCTGCGGTGTCCTGCCTTGACATGAAATTTTAATATCGCCTTTAAATTTAAGTGGCCCAGTGAGGTTTTTGCATTCAGCTCTTGGCAGCGTTTCAATTGGACTTTCCCTTTTTATTTTCTCTTCTTTATTTATATTTGTATATCCTTGGGATATGTGTGTGTGTATGTTTAGGAGGCCAAATGTCGCGTCGATAAATTTCTTGTGGATTCACCGCCTTTGGCTGACTCCGATTTATTTATTTATATTCAGGTTGCCATTGCTTTGATTTTATTATGTTTGCCGCCGTCTCCAGGTGGGCGGCCCGAAAAAAACAGAAACAGAAATGGGAACCACCAGTTTGGCCTTTGATTCCCTTGGCGATGGCATTTCACCCAAATATAATATTTATATAATTTCAACAGAATTGCGCCAACAGAGGGATTTCTATTTGCATATAGAAAGCATATTTCAATCAGGCAAAATCCGAGCGACCGAGCGACATGTGCAAATATTTGTTTCTTAACTTTTGTGCTTGCCAGAGCCTTTGTTTTGCTAATGATGATGACCCGAAAAGGAGCATATATACATATGTACACATACTATATATAGAAGGGGCAACTATTTGGTCCTGCCATCAAAAGTTGCGTGTGTTGAGAGCAAATTGTGTCAAGCGGCGTTAAAAATGCATTGTACACTTTTCTTCAGGAGCGCTTGTCGCGCCTCGCTCGCTGTTGTCCTGCCAGTTTGTTTGCCAAGCAATTTGGGCGCAAGATGAAATAGTTCTTACTCTTTTGTATTTTCTTTTTTTTGGCATAATTTTAGCAACAAAGGCAAGGGCACAGAGACATATACACGGGCACACTCTCACCCGAGTCGCAGAGAGCAAGTGCAAATAGTGTAAATGTCCTTGAAAGAGCCAACAACTTTGGCCCTGGCGCCTGCCTGCAACAAGAACAAGGGAGAAAAAAGCAAAACACAGAAAAGGGAGCCAAGAAGCGCATGAACAGGTGAAGGATTTACACGATTAAATGATGAAGTTACTCCAAAGGCATAGGCGCCATCGATTTTGTGGCCAAAGCAATTGCTGGCCATAACGAGCTAAACTCGTGTATGCACACACCAGCGAAAATTGAATAAATTAATTCATAGAAAATTATAGAGATTTAGCGCTGATTGCCGGGAAACCAATGGGAAATGACAGGACGCAGGACACAGGACAGACAGGCAACAAGCCAAACACGTTTTCTGAATGCACAATTATTAAATAGGCTGACAAAAGGCTGATGGTAAATTGGGAGTGGGATTGTGGGAGTTGGATACAGTAGAGAGGAGACACGCCGAGGGGACATGGCGTCGTTTTTACTCGTCTTGGCCACATCACATGTGCACATTTCGCAGAGAGGATGAACTCGAGAGCGCTGCTCCTGCTCCCTGGCTCTCTCGTATCGATCCGCAAAACGAGCAAAAGTCAACTGGAAACTGGAAAGCAACCACCAAAAAGAAGCAGAACATCCTGCTCCATGCCGAGACCGAAACCGAGACCGAGCACGAGTCTAAATCCGAGTCCGAGTCCGAGTCCTTCTCTCGCCTCCTTGCCGCTGACATTGGTGACAGTTTTTCTCTGGTCAAAAAACTGAATGTACAAAAGCCGAGGCAGGAAGGGAGGAGGGTCGGGCCCAGAATGACTCAACATTTTGTGGTTATGCAGGAGCCACGTGCAAATTATTTTTATAGAAATACAAAAAAAAAGAAACCAAACACGACGAAAGCTGGCCCAACTTGTCAATGTCAATTGATAGTGAAAGCAAGCGATGAGCAGCTGGAGGATGAGGCGTGCTAGGCGTGACACATCATGGACTCTGCCAAACAGGGTAGCAGCTGTTGGCAGATGGCTGGGAAACGTGCTGCCAGGATTGACATCCTGGCACAGCACACACACACACTCACACACAATTAAATATTAATGCGCGAAATTAAGTGAAAAACGGCAAGGGCATTAGTTAGACTTGGGCTTTGTCGAAAGGATTAGCCAGCACAACTTGTGGCATTAACAGGCCATCACACCAAGCTTAACTTGTCGAAAAAAGGCAGCCGAATAATTGGATTTTACTTTCATTTTTGTCTCCATCGTGGCAGGAATTGAGGTGCCTCCATTGTTGACACGGAACGGAAGAAGCTAAACTGAATTTTTGGGTGCGGATTGTTTGCCAGAGATTGATGAAGTGGTGTCCCAGCAGAAACAGCAGGGACGGAGAAGGTCAAACGATATGAAGAATGGGAGGAGGGAGTGAAAATGGGGCAACACAATCAGTCAACTTGGGGCAAAAGAAACTATGAGCACACAGCAGAAATGTGGTTTCAGAGACAGTTCAAGGATATGTCAAGGGGTTTTTTCATGAACTCAACCAATCTTGTTGTCAAAAACAACGAAAATAAAATTTTATACTTTACCAAGTCCTAGAAAATACGTTGGTAAGAATTTAAAGTTAACTTTATAATTGAGTATTCAAGAAAACCTTACACAAAATGAATACTTAATAGAATAAAGAGCTCTGAGTAATCACAGACGTTGTTCAGTGACAAAAGCATATTATACTAAATTCCAGAAATAATGAAATTGAAACTCAGCATAAGAACTCTCCTCACAACTCAATTAACAATTCCACGAACCATTGCAATTCAAAAGCAATTTATCCAATTTTCTTTGCATTTAAAAAGAGCAGAGGAAATAGAAATTGCTTGCCATAAAAGTTAAGGCCAGTCGGGGAAATAAATCAACTTGGTCCGTGCGGAAACGGAGCCGTATATATAAATGGGATATATGATATATAGACGAAGAAACAAAATTATCGGGCTTTTGGTTTTTGCAGTTTAAGCAATTATGTTCAGTCACGTGAGAGCGTGCGGAATGCAATGAAATATGCAGAAGGAGCAACCGCTATGATAAATGTGGAATGGTGGACAGGACCACCGCCTCTGGCTCTGCTCAGTGCAGTGTTGGGCCAAATGTTAAATGGTACAAATTGCAAGGTCACATTGGCACGCCATGTCAAGAGTCGAGGCAAAGTCAGGATTCGAAGTCACGGAAGACTAGAAGAGACTAGACGACGGATGATTCTAAGGGTACAAGAATGTGAAGTCAAGTACATTCTACTCACCTTTTGCCAGCTTCCTCGCCCTCGAGTCCTTCGCCGCCGGCGGCTGCTGCTGCCTCCGGATCAACAGCGGCGGCCACTGCCTCCGAGGATGTGGAGGCGGCTGCTGGTGCGGCTGCGGCCGCCTCTCCTGTGGGCGCGGGCACGTCCTCGTCGCCAGCGCCGCCCTTTACGGCGCCCACCAGCGACGTAAATTGATTTGTTAGGCCCGAAAACATGTTCGCTACTGGTTACTGGTGCTGGTGCTGCTCCTGCTGCCAAGGATTAGCCTTCTCGCTGGTTGTGTGTTGCCTTGCTGCTGGCTGCGTGTGTGAGAGGTTGCTCCCAACCAGAAAACGTGCGCACGTTCGGCTCTCTCGTCGCTCGTTCGCTTGCTCTCTATTGCCTGGCAGATGCTCTCCCGCTCCTTGCGCCAACTTTATTACACACTGGGCAGAATGTATTTTGTAATGGGTTTGCTGCTTTTCGTTCAGTGTTTCGCACCACAGAAGTTTCACTTTCAACGCTCGGCGTTATGTAAATTCTCGCATTTAACTTTTTGAGATTCGCTTTTCACGCTGCAGCAAGATGGTCGGTTGGATGGATGGATGAATCAATGGAAGGGAAGAGAAGAGCCGAGCTCAGGTTTAGTTGCAAAATGACGTTGCACAGCGTTGTGCGTGGCGGCGGTGGGGAAAATCAATAAAACGGGCATAAATTTTGAACGGCCTGAAAAACGGGGCACAATTACACGATACTATGTACTACGCTACGATTCGATCGATTTTCCACATGGACACGCTCGAGTTTTTCTTTTCTTTTTGCACAACAACGACAATGACAACAAAAGCAATCTCTGCGTCGCAGCCAATTACCACTTGAGCTTTTCTCCCTGCCAAAACTGTGGATTTTCTTTGCGTTCAAGGAGACGTTGGATTCTCGGCTGCCCACTTCGAAGGTCCTCTGAAAACTGACGGAGCAGCGGAATGTCGTTGGCTCAAATAGCGAGCTGTTTTCTGCTATGGCGTCGGGCGTCCTCTCTCTATCTTCGCTTTCTCCTGGAAAAGCGCAGCTTTCCCACTCCGCCTGCTTCCGCTGTCTTTCGTGGCTGGTGGTGGGTTTTCCTTTGTGCACTGGAATGTCCCTCGGTGGGTGTGCGCATGTGCCAGGTGTTTTTTATCGTTGTTAACTCGCAATTAGACAAAACAATTGACACGTATAAAAACAAATAGTATCACTACGCAGCAATTGGTTCTTGGTTTAGAGTTTCGAACAGCTGACGATAGACGGAGAACATCGATATATCGATTAACTTTGGCGGCTATCGATTACCTGCGAAACTTTAAGCGGCTTTTTGGAATTAATTTTTTCAATATAAAACAGAAAGATGGCCTAGAGAGCCACAACTAAGAGCCTTAAGAGCAAAACTATATTAAATTGTAAAACTATATACCAACTTCAAGAGTTGCCACAATAATATAACTTGCAAATGCAAAAGACGCTCAACATCATGTTCATAAAACTCTATTTACACCAACAGACTTTCAGTTTTTGTACTTAACATAGTTTTTATATCAATTATCAGCTAATTAGTTCGATGGGAGGCAATTTGGAGACTCAGCGACGCTGCCGCGCCCTGCTCTGCGGCACCTCCTCCTCTGGCGCTTCCGCAGCAGCCTCCGTGGCCTTCGATTTCGGCGTCTGCTGGGCCTTAATCTCGTGATCTAGCCGTTCCTTGGCCCGAAAGACTTTTGATTGGAGGTAGAAGGAGCCGCCCTTGGACCGCTCGTTAACATTAAACAGATGCTCATAGTTCTTGACGACACTTTCCACGTTCTTGGTGTCGTCCACGTTCAGTATCTGCTTGGCTTCTTCCAGCGTCATGCCTAAAGAATAGGTTTATTAGTATATCAGTTTGGCTTGGAAAAAGTAATTTCTTACCTGTGCGCAGGTTGGACTCGGCGCTCTTCTCGCCCTGCTTGCCGCCACCCGCTCGCCGAGCGGCTTCCTGTGAGGCGGCAATCTCCTGTCTCAGGGCCTTGGTGAAGGCCCGTCCCACTGCCTGAGCGCCCAAGACGATGATCTGTGCAATGTACTTGGCCATGGCGTCTGTGCTTTTGTTCAATTCGCTGCTCGGCCTTGAACGTTAAATTTGTGACAAGCTGGGATCCGGCTGTATTTCGGATGCCTCAACAACGTGTCGTTCAAATTACGCAATAGCTTATTTACTACAGGTGCTGCAGCTTCCAAGTTTGTTTTAGCTTTTCTGAAAACAAAAAGAAAGCGCTATTATGAGAATAAATGTATTAATAAGTAATATTATTTAATTACCAGCAGGTGAAATGAAATTATTACGTTCGCCAGGTAAATCTACGAAGTTTGTTAGCGGCGAAAAGCACGAGAGTCAGCTGTTTAAGAACAAGTTGGCAGCGCCGTATGGTGGAGACGGACGTTGCAATATCGATAATTGTAGGAAGCTTTCTTTCAAGCTAAATTTTAAGTGTGACGGAAATAAAAATGGTAAATATAATTCTTTTTAAAGGGTGTCATAAATATTGACATTTTATAATTTTAATACATACATAAATGATTAAGTTCCCAAAATTACAAAAGTTAATCTTTAAAACTTTAACGATATATAAGTTTTTGTATGTAAATAATAAGAGTAATAAATTATATTAAACGTATAATCAAAAGACAACAACAAATTATATGATATTACAAAATCTAGCTAATGTAAGATACCACTTATCGATAGTTGGCGGCAGCTTTCTTGCCATCTATCGTTTTTTCAAAAATTCAAAATTAGTAAGTTAATCAGATGTCATGGCACTGAACCCGAAATGGGAGAAAATCTATGAGCGATTGGTTCAGGCGCACTTTGCTGACCAGCGGCAGGTGGAAATCCTGCAGCGGCAACTACGGCGGTTGAGGGAAAAGCGGCATCTCCTGGAGGAGCGAATTGATTATGACACCCACAACACGGAAGTTTGGATGCGGATGATGGATACCGTGCGTCGGGAAGTGGAGCGTGTTCGGAGGCAGAAGGATCGCCTAACGCCTAAGGATGAGAAGCTGCTGCAGCGGATATTGCGACGATTTCCAAAGGACAGATTTGAGGATAGGGTGCGACTTATGGAAGTGTCCGAAAAATTAATGGCAAAGCCGTGTAAAGATGCTTCTGTTGGGAAGGCAAAGATGAACGTGGAAAACTCCATGGACACTGAGCCTTCTCAACAAAAGCCCTGTGATCCCAAGACCCAACCCAAAGTGGACAAGCGGCTGGCAAGGATTAACGCCGATTTGCAAGAACTACGACGGATTAATGAAGAGACCATGGACACCATGGCTGATATAGGCGTCCTAAAGTCCACCATACAACATCTGATAACCGGCACCAGTGTTAAGATTACTCCCTATGTTGTTCGCCGCAGTTCCTTAGATTTGAAGAAAGCATATCCAAGGGATAAAAAGGCTACCATCGTCATAACTCGAAAGAAACGGAACTACGAGATTCGGGAAAAGTTGCATATCCGGCCGCCATACATTCTAGATCATGTGCCTCAACTGCAGCCAGACACTTTTAAATTTCTGCAGATAAATTCGAAGCGCAAACACTGATACTCTGCTTCTCTGGTGGGGACAATAATTTATTATACCAAGAATTAGTCTACTTAAACATAGTCTAAATGAACATGTTCTATGCTATGCTAATCCTGTCCAGCTTCTGTTTGATATTTACAATTTACAATAACAACTTAACTCATTGATCATCCAAAGCCGAGGGTGGGAGTCAATATTCCTTCTGGCAGGATGATCATTGAACTGAAGTTCCGGGGCTTTTCGTGGCACTTGTATGGGATCTCCCTCGAAGCGGACACCCCGAACTCCTGCTAATCTCGGATTTTGTGCAGCTTCTCGTTCCCAACGATCTCTGCTCTTATGGCCTGCCTCTGTGCTTTATGGTGGCTTCATTTCGGGTATCCTAACAGAAGCCCGGATTGGTGTGCTCGATGATGCAGCGCTTGCAGTACTTTTTGACTGCCCGGTACCCCTCGATGGACACCGGGCAGTCCTGGATGTTCAGCTGCTGAAGGCCGCGGCAATAGTATGCGATGCACTGAACTCCCCGATCCGTAATCATGTCGCAGCTGCGCAGGCTCAGTTTCTTCAGATTGGGACAGCTTTCGGCCAAGGCCCGCAGTCCCGCATCGCTGACATCACACTTGCCAATGTCCAGGGCCCTTAGCCGGGGACAGGAGCGGGCAAGGACTGTGATGGAGTCATCGCTGACAGCTTCGCATCCTCGGGCATTCAAATATCTGAGCTTGTAGCACCGCCTGGCGATGACCTTTAGCCCGGCATCCGAAACACGTTCGCACTTGGCCACGGAAAGGTAGCGAAGGGCTGCTCCCAGCTTAGCCAGCTCGTACAGGCCAAAGTCGGTGATGTTCAGGCAGTCGGATACGCTCAACTCCTTCAGTGAGACGCAGAAACTGGGCACAAACTTCAGACCCGCATCTAAGGATAAGGCAAGGGATAGTTAGTATAATTCGGATGGGGATATATGAGAGACCTACCCGTAATTTGTATGCAGCGCCGCAGGTACAGATACACCAGCTGTGGACAGTTCTTCACCACAATCTTCAGACCCATGTCATCGATGGCCATGCAATCGGTGAGGTCCAAATACTGCAGCAGCAGGCGTCGCGGTGGTTCCATATGCGGATTTGGACTGATGCTGCTCACTTGGCTGCAGCCTGGAAATATTTCACAAAATGAATTAGAAATCAGCTTTATTGAACTCTGAGTTCCCACTCACCTGTGACATCCAGATGCTGCAGGTTGCTGCACTTGGTCAGGGCCTCGACCAGCGCCTGATTGGAGACATCCACACAGGTCTGCAGCTGCAGGTGAGTCAGTTCCGGGCAGCGCCGCGTAAGCAGCTGGAGACCCTTGTCCGTGATGCGGCAGCCATCGCCAAGCATGACACGTTCCACTTCCGGACAGGCGCCATTGCAGCTTTGGCCGCACAGCTGCCGGAAAATCATCTTCAGCGTCTTGTCGCCATTAAGGTGCTCGCCCCGTAGCGATATCACCTTCCACAGAACGGGACGCCAGGCGAGGTGCTCGAATCTTCGGCAAACTCGCGCCACGTTGGACAACTCGCAACTGTCTAGCCAGGAGAAGATCTTCACGACAGCCTCATCGGGCAAGCGATCGAAGAGCGGACCGCAGCGGAAGGGACCCTTACGGTTCCAGGGCGGCGGTCCGATGGCGGTGCCAGGCCCACCTCCACCCACTCCACTGCTAGAGACTCCTCGTCGCGGTGTTGTGGCCGGCGTGCTGCTGGCCATGATTCCCGCTCCACTCGCAGTGGTGGAACCGGTCACATTACCCGCCCCACTCGAGTGGTGACCTGTGGGTGAGGGCGAAACCAATGTGGCATAGCCTTGGTCCAGGCTTGGCGAGAAGCGACCCAGGTTGCACAGGCCGTCCGACAGGCTCTGGCCTTTGGTGTGGTGGTGGTCTAGCTGGAAGGCATTGGCGGGGGAGTTGGTGCTCCGGTTGAGCAGGTAGCGGTCCGAGCCGCTCGTCTCGCTGGGACTGGAGGTGCGCGGATGATGCAGGCGTTCTGGAGAAGAAGGTATTTGGATTAATAAACTATATAACCAATTGATAGTCAAATTCCTCACCTGGCAGTCGCTCGTTCCCGCTGCCGCTGCTGTAATCCTCCAGGTAGTAACGCTCGTTTTGGTACTGACTCGCCTCGGCTCCTAGGGGCAGGGCTCTCAGAGCGTTGCCCAGATACAGCGACTCCATCTTCTTGTCCAGCAGATACTGGGCTCCACTGCTACTGCTACCATTGGTGCCCAGCACAGTGGGCACACTGCAGCGTCCACCTTGAACACGTCTTCGACCGGCTCCTCCGGCGCCACCGCTACCACTACCTGTACCTCCGCCCGCATTATTGTCACTGGAATCCTCCGTATCCGCACTGTTGCCGTGCATCCAACTGGGTCTCTGCGCTCCGAATTGCAGGACATGCTCCAGGGTGAGGAAGTTCCGTGGCTGCGGTACAGGCGCCACATTTCTCGTGGCCGGAGCGGGCAGCTCGGGTGACTTTTTTGCATGTCGTCCCACAGAGGCCGTGGAGTGGGCTCCATAGGTGGTCTGCTCCGGTCGGGTATGGCGACTTCTTAGCTCAAAAGTGGCAGCCTTTTGCTGCACCATGTGAAGCACTGCTGCAGCTGTCGACGAGGCGGTGGCCTGGTCATTTGGCGATGTGGAATCCATGCCAGGATTGGGCGACTTCCGAGACATCATTTTGTAGGCTTGCGGATCCAGTGGGCTGGAGCTCAATGGATGCGGATGATGGTAATGATCCCGCACCGCATTGCTGTTGCGGCCCAAGGAGGCTAATGGACACTCCAGGTCGCTGGTGCGACGGCTGCCTGTTTTGTGCGACATGATAGGATCCTTTTTGGGGACTTAGGCTGTCAGCTGGTGGCCTCTAGAATGGCAAGGAAGTCTGAAATCGGATGGAGAAATATAGGTAAGCATTTGATTTCTATTTTAGATTTTTAGATTTAAGTTTGGAATAAATTATAATTAATGCAAATTAATATGGCAACAAATTAAAACGAGATCAATAAGCATAGACCTTGGCTCAACAGAACTTCCATTTGTGGCAGACACACCTTCGAAGCTTTGATGAATCTGCATTTACCCAAAAATATTTATACCAAACTTGATTTTAAATACAATTAATCATAAAATTCTAAAAGATCGTAAACCCATATCGAAGTCAGACATTTATCGATGGCCAGAGTTGGTGTCACAGCCTGGCAAAACGGAATTTATATCTGCGATGGCCATGGGAACACGGAATGTGTTGTGGACGCGTGTGGGTAGCATTTTGTGGGTCTGCATACCATTGGCAATTATTAGAGGAAAAGCACTGGCACTGGAGAGTCATAACTGGGAGTCATAAAGTGTGTCTCTACTTGGACCACTCCTCCCAAACGTTTACTGCAGTTGACCTTTTGGATCCATTCAGCATTCAAAGCTCTTTGGCAATTTGTGGGTGAAATGAGCTTGGTACTGTTGCCAAACAAATCGCTCGATGAACGTTCATATACATATATATTTATATATATATTTTTACAATTAATAAGGGGATCGCCCACGCTCCGATCTTTGAATCTGAAATCATTGGTTAGTTTTTTTTGGGGTCTGCTTTATGTGTGTATATATCTTTTATTTGGCCACACGTATGCTGTCATTTCCATTGAGCCCTGGCGGTTGGCTTCTCCATTCATCGTCTGGAACCAGTTTGCTGCAGCAGGTGGGGGACTGGCGGAGGAGGAGTTGGAGCCATCGAGGAAGCGGCAGAAGGCGTGGGCTGGCTTGTGGCCATCCGCAATTTGGCCCGCTGTTATTGGCCTAACCTTAAGACCTTAAATTAAGCCGAAAGTAACCCAATTCGGCTAGAGATCTCTTGTTCCCGCAGAAGCCATAACCATTCTCTTTACAGATTCTCGGGGGCTCTGCATAATTTACTCGGTCAGCTATCTAAATAGAAAACCATAAATTCATATCACATTTTTCGTGGCCAAGCAAGTCTTCTCCGGCATTTCTGGGTGGGGTCTTGGCCGGATCCGGGCACGGGCACGGGCACGGGGCACACCTACGGAAAACGGGGACTGGTGCGGCACACTTCGGATCTTCGGGACGAGTAAGTCCAAAAAATAAAAAAGCACAGCTCACAAGTGGAGCTCCACCTAGCAATCTCTGTGTGGCTTTGGCTTTATTTTTATTGTAATCAAATTTGAAATTAATTTTGATTTTTGTGTTGTATCATTTCTGGCCGCGCCATAAATAAACACAAATAGGCAGCAATAATAACACCGGGGCCTAGCACACTCAGTGGAGAGCCGACAGAAATATGTCTTGTCATTTGGCTTATGGCAGCTGATTAATCTTAGCATCTCCGAAACCGAAACCGAGACCAAACCCCCAATAACCAGACCAATACCATAACCAAAACCAAAACCAAAACCAAAGCCGAATCCGAATCCGATGTGAAGTGGAGCCGCCGCCTGTCGCCTGTCGCGCCTCATATGGAATGTCGCTCAACTGGTTCGAACTTCCCAAAGAAAAAAACTGAAGAAAAAATCAGGGGTAAAGAAAGGAAAATGCTCCAAGCCAGAGATCACTTCACCCCACTCCACTCTCGAGAGAGGCATTTGATTTTCTCCTAGGCCATTGGCGTTGTGCGTTGCCATAATTCACAATAGTTGGACAATAAATAATTAATAAAGCACGCTCGGTGTGTGGACAAAAGTGTCAAATGGTTCATTGGGCAACACAGCATGGAATTTGCATAAATTTACATCCAAATGTAATTCATTCTGTTTGTTTTTTCTTCTTGTATTCTTTGTCTTGAGCCAGAGGGCTGAAATATCATTAGTAACGCATTAAGTGTTGTAAACAACCTACACGGAGCTAGTAGAGTTCTTGTTGGTCAACACTTTAGGATGAGATTAAGATTTTACACAAAATCTTTAATCAAAATAGGAAAGGAGAGAAAGTTTTCTATAAAGAGTGGAAATAAATTTATTTGAAGATTATGTATTTAAGCGGTCTTTAAATGGTATGTATTCAACCATAAATTTAGATATTATTAAATGACTATTTAAAACACTTCAAATAATTATGTTTGCACACATATTCACCGGCCTTATCGACAATCAACGATAGCATTTTTCATGTTCTCACAATTAATTTTATATCCCGGATTACCTTCATATCTGTCAAGTTGCCCAATCAATTGCCATTCAATTAAAGCGCATATATATTTCACAATTTTATGAAGGAAATAAAAATTGAGAATCCACAGCAAAGGCCAAAACACTCGGCGTCCGGCCATCACATATTGGAAACTGGTCCATGTCCGCATCTATCGCGATCCGAGTCGATGTTCCTATCTGTATCTTTACGTGCTTGTTCATATTTACCCCGTCCCAGAGCCAGAGCCAAGCCTCTTCAAGTGCGCTCAACGAGCACATAAAATATGACAACAACAAGTACTAATTATTTAATATGCTTAATGAGCAAATGTCGCCATGCTGGTTGCCCACAGTGCACTCGAACAAGGCAAGACAGCCTCGGCACAGTGGGGGTTGCAGTGGGTAAGGTTTTAACTACAGGTCATGTTTAATAATAGTACTAGATTTGAGCTCAAGTTTCGGCCAAAGCTAGGGAAATTTATTTCAATTTATGGTTGATAAGTTATTTTAATTAAATTGAATGGGAGCATTGATTTATTAACCATTTTTGGAGATTTCCTAAGAATAAAAATTTAACCTTGTTTTCGAAGGGTTATTCAATTTCTTAAATCACAATTATTATTACACTATAAACTTTATAATTGAATTATTCTCAATAAGTTATTGATTCGTAAAAGGATTACAGTTTTAGATATAGTAGTTCTCAATTGGCATTAAAAAAACTTGAAAATAACCTTTATTTATATTTAATTATATAAGTTGATATTTTATAAGTTAATATATATTTATTGATTCGTAAAGGGATACAAGTTCTAGATATAGTCATTCTATTTCTACTTTCTATTTTATTCTATTTTGATCAATAAAAACTTGAAATCACCTTTAAAATAACCTTTATTTATACCCTTTGTTGGGTATTATAGTTAAATCAGAAGCCAAAAATTCAGTGAAGGAATCATTTCCAACCCCATAAATCATATATATATTCTTGATCAGGAGCAACAGCCGAATTGATCTAGCCGTGTCCCACAAAAATTTTATTTTTTTTTAAATTTCAAAATTTTATAAGGGGTTACATCGTCAAAATTGTGAAAAATCGATAGAAAAATTTGAATATTTTTAATTGTTATATCGAGTATGCAAATTTGTTAACACAATAAAAACTATCAAAAAAATGCTTTCCGAATTGAATTAAATGCTTTTTTGGCTGAGTTATGACAATTTAAAAAATTCGATTTGTCCAAAAAATATATTAATTTTAGTAATATATTATTAAAACTGCAAGGGTATTGAAATGTCAGCTTCCCAGAATTACCTGAATTTTGTAATAATTTTCCTAGTTTTTAATTTCTTTTTGGAAACTCAATTGTGTGACAAATTTGTAAGTACTTTCGCAACTGACCAAATCAATGATTTTCTCCACCTCAACGATTACCTTTTCCAAAGGCAATCTCCGTGCGTACTCGTAGATCCAATTGGACACACTGTGCGCTGTGTCAAACTAATAACTACTATTTTCTACGTTTTGTGTGTGGCGACCGTTGTCTGCACATGGCTGAAATCTAACGCCGAAAGGCAACAACAACAACAGCAACAAACAGCAGTAACAGCTTGGCGCCACACCGAGGGGCAACAACAGCAACATCATACGGAGTGAGCACCTTTTGGCCTCCATGCCTCGGCATGCTGAGCGGCCTGGCCTGGCCCCAAGTACCCGCAAGTCTGGCCCCAAAGCGTGTGTGCACTTGGAAAAATACTTAACTAAACTAACCAATACTTAACTAAAAGTATTCCCAAATCTTCAAAGCTTAAAGCAAAGCGTTATAACAATGAGCGAAGAAGTACTTGTTAATAAGGTGCTTAAAGGGTGGTCCTAAAAAATCTAATAAATTATTTTCCCCTATCTTGAACTGTTTAAATGTTTAAAGAAATCGAAAATATATATTATATATATATATGTTTCTCCCAGTGGAATGTGAGTGTGCGAACAAGTATCTGTGTGTGGCTACTGTATTCTGCAGCAATTGCCTCTCTGTGGGTTGGCGCTTTTTGCATAGTGTCAATTTTGATTTAGCAAAACGTTGCTTTTGCTATTGAAGTTGATTTTCTTGTTGGTTTTTTTGGTGTAGTTGTAGCTGCAACTCCAGCGGCTGTCAGCGCACCCGCCTAACACCTCCTGGCCACATAGACACCCACACAACTTGGCGCTGCCTAGAAAGTGGGTGGCGCTGACAAGTTTTTATATAGGTTTTTCTATTTTTTTTCTTTTTGAAAAACTCATAAAAAAATATTTCTTGCGCATGCCAGGGAAATACAAACTGGGCGCAGCATCTACTTGATTTTCTCAGCGATTTCACAGAAAATGCAATTAGCCAAGCTTGCCTTAACTTAAGTCTTATTTATTATTATTTTTGTATTATGTTACCTAGATTGCAATCTTTGTTCTATTTAAGCTCCATCTTCTTTGGCATTAAAACTAATTGGTAAGGCAAACCTTTCGGCAACGTGCTTTGGTCTGAAAGTTGTTACCATTACCCGCACCGCCGTAGAAGATGAATCTCTGGCAGCTTTCAGAGGTGGAATTGTAGAACCAATTGCGCAGGTAAGCCTTCCCGGAACCCAGCTTTAGCGGCTGAAGGCATCTGCGTTTGACTAAAGTCACATTAGTAACTATTTATTTTGACTATATATTCGACTTACTCGAATAACTCGACTGCAGGCAGAGCACCAAGAGAATAAGCAGCCACGAAATCTTGAACAGCATGATGTAAGAATAGTTTCAAAACTAACATGGCAAATAAATTAGGGTACCTTTTATAGCTTCAAATATTCTACCCTAGCATACAGTAGTTGTTAAATCAGGTGGCATAAAGCAAACTTGTTTGTTAAATTGAATCATAAACAAATATTTCGATAGTTGGTTGTTTAAAATCATCTGCTTTTTATTTGAACTTGCTCCATTGACTTCTTTGAAGTGTCAACAAATTGTGGCTTAACTATGAAGTGGCAGGTGTTACTTTGGTGTTGAGTAAATTACATCAATACCATTTACCAAATATCTCTTAAAAAGTACTCTTTAACTCTTAAAACCTTTTACATTTCTTGATGCAATTTAATCTAGTTACAAAGTTGTTTTCATTTCCAGAGTTAGTTCCACAATAGGTAAACATGATGCATTTGTTTTGATTCCAATTAAAGTACCATCGGTTTGTACAAGTTTTACCTATCCCAAGTTTTCTCGTATAAAAGCAGCGTAGTAATTCTAGGTACTAAAGAGGTTAGCAAATATGTTGAAATAAAATATATTTTATTAAACTCTACTTACGACTACTCATGGGAGGTGTAGAGACCATTAAGATCAGATAGAGATATAACCATTTAAACAGCATGATTTATGTGGGACTCACTCGTTGTAAGCTGATAAAAGGTACGAATATTAACCCGCTTTTATAGGGGAATTAATAAGCCATAGACAAGTCTCGAATTAAACACCCTATAAACCTTAAAACGTTTACGAGACGCATTTTTATTAAACATTTTAAATAATCAAATGATTTGTTTTATGGCCGAATATTGTTTAGCCTAATCTAAAAGCAAGCTTACCCCACTTATTACCTATAAAAAGTCGAAAATGTATATTTTATGACATTCTGCGGCAATTAGTCGCTATCTAAATACTTAAATATTTATTTTAACACATTTAATTTGCCGTCAAAACAAACGAAATGAACTGAGACTAACCGTACATTTAAGTTAAATGAACTTTATTCTCACTCTGAGCGGTGGCTCCTCGTGTTTCTGTTGTGTCTATGCAAATATGCAAAGAAAAGAATTGAAAGTTGACACAGTTCACAAAGAATTCGAAATTCCTTGCAAATATCTACATATGTATGTATATTTGGAAAGGGGTGAGAAGAGAACGTGTTGGCTTTATCAAAGGGATATATATCTTTGCTTATGAATGCATAAATAGGCATTCATTATGGTTAGGGTTCCAGCTCAATAGGCCCACTGATGGCGAATCGGTGAAAGAGATCGATCTGGGATAGAAAGTATTGAATGGAACGAATGAAGATTCATTGTGGTAGCGGAATTAATTAGAGCATTCAGTTCAGAGCGATATCTGCGGATGTCTGCATATTCTTCTCTCGGCTAACTGTAAATTATTGGAATTTTGTCTCAATTTGTAGATTCTGCAATCTCAATTACTTGGGCGAAAAGAAAAAAAACTTTCTCAGGAAGCTGCTCAGTGACTGTGGAAAAACTCGTTTAGATTTCCACTTTGCCATCGCTCAATTTTTGCTTCTTCGGTTACCTTTTTTTTGTGGAGAGCTGATTGATTTGATAGTGCAAAAAAATATTAAATATATATATCTAGAAATTGATTTCTTGATGACTGCGCTGACTATCCATCAAAATTGGACTTGCCACAATTTGTGGCTTCGCTTCTCGTTTTTTCTTTTGTTGTTTTGTTTTTGTGTAAAGTCTCCTTAATGGTTTTGTGCCATTTCTTTCGTCATTATCTGTAACCAAAGATTTCACCGGACCCATTAAAGGGGAACGCGCAGCATTTTAGTCAAACTAATTAAACCGAATCTTATATAATGAACCGTGAACGAGATGGCCAAGAAGGAAGGCGAACATGGCGATTGAAACATTGAGACTGTCATCAATCAAACGCAAATTCTTGTGGAGCTTCTCCGCTCCGGCTCTCTCTCTCTCTCTCTCTCTCTCTCTCTCTGGGGCATAATTCAAATTCCAGGCGAACCAGTTCGTTGCTTCAGTCTTTTGTTCTGACCGTGGCCCCAAAAAAGGCAAGAGCCAAGGCCCGGCACTTTTGGGCAGCAAAAGTGCAGATAAAGCCTGGCTTAGCCCGAAATTAAATACCCCAGCAAACCCTGTGCGGTCAGAGCGGAATAAATCACAAAATAAGACACAGAAACGAGGCGAACTCATTGCAAATTACATGGTGTTCCCCCAAAAAAGGGGAGCGCGGCTGTGGTGGAGCATTGACGTTGACGAGGCCAGCACAGTTTCGGACGTGAATGATGGCACGGCTAATCCCCGGGATCGCCGAATACCTCCCAATCCCAGATACCCCCAGCCAGATTCCCAAATCCAAGACACACATAAATCCAGGCCAAGTCAGAGTCCAATAAAAATGTCGAGCAAATGCAAAAAAGCGACAAATGCTTGACGGACCAAATGTCACAGTTAATTTATCTAAAAGCTTTGCCCGACTTTTCAGTTAGAGACAAAGACTTAGCCGCAGAGCCAAAAAAAAGAGAGATCCAAGGGGGGAGATTGGAAAATTTTAATTAAGACAAAATATTTGAGATTCTGCACAAGACAACGAGGTCTCTCTAACAAGAAGCCAACAATTTGCCGCGCGCAATTTTTCAAATTACATTTCATTAGACAGAGAGAGCATGAGAGTCGGAGAGAGAGAGAGAGAGAGACGGAGAGATGGAGATGATCGGGTGATAACTGGAAGAGAAAATCCAGCAAATGTAAAGCACCGTTTTGCCTCACTCTTTGGCAGCAGCTTTTCACCAGAGGAGAAAGAGCCAGGCTAAGAGACTAAGAAACTGGTTTATCTCAAGTCGCCCGCATGCTGGAGGCCATAAGACGCCCGCATAGGCAACAACAGGCGGTGACTGTTGAAGAGACTCGACTCTTTTTTTTTTAGTCATCTAATATGCCACACATAAATTTGTTAACAAATTCAATTTTAAAGTTCAGCCCGCAAATGCCCTGCGACAACAGCAGTCGCAGCCGCAATTGCGACTGCAACTAAAGCAGCAACTATGTCAGTCACTCGGCAACATTGCCAACTAGCAGGCGAAACAACATTCCAGCTGCCTCCTGCCCCCCAGTTCCCTCCCCCCCCACCCCTGCTTCAACCTGTCCCCCTCGCCGTCGTCAAGTCCGTAACTAGCTGCAGCTACAAGTTGCCGTTTCTAATACAAAACTGTCGCTTGTGGCGTGAGAGACCAGCTCCAGCTCTCTTGGCCACGATTCGCGTCGAGCTTTGGCTTCATAGCGAAATAACAAAAAAAAAAAGAAAAATAAAAATAAAGGAAAAAAGAAATATATATAAATAATAAAAAAATACGTCGCATTGCATTTTAGTATTTGCTGATTGCGCTGTTGCAAGAGCTATGAAATCATACAAACAGACACATAAATACCCGCACACCGGCGGGAGACATACAATACAAAAGTTTGTGGACAAGAAAGGAAAGTCGATTAGCCGCAGGTGAACATCGAATGGGAAATACCCTGTGGCCAACAAATGCTAATCAAGTTACCAAATAGAGGCATTAAGTTCTAGGTCTGTATTCCAATATAATTGGTAATTATAATGACCTCTAAAATGGTTTAATATTCAATGTATGGGTTAGGAATTATTTTGAACCTTGTCTTGTGGGATTTAAATGATATTCTTCTTGTATTTATATTTAGTTAATCAATTTCTGAGCGTACGAGCTGTTTAAACTCAAATAATCATACTTGGGGTAGACTAAAAATAAAGAAATTAGGTCACTCCACAATATTGAATTGGTTTTTAAAAATAGAAAAACTACTTAAAGTTCTTGGTTAAGATTATTAAAGAATACTAAATGGAATGGGATAAAAGCTGCGATCTTTTACAACTTTATTTTTATGCAGGCAACATATTTAATCAAAAATAAAAACACTTTAGGTCGCTACAAAAAATTATGGTAGATAACATAGTAATTTAAATAATGTCTGCTATTTCATTAACGCTTTGGGTAATTCCCACAATTAAAATGTACAAGTACACAAGACACAAGTTGATTTAACAATCTTGTGAATTTGATTATTTTAAATTTGAAACATCAATCACTTAACTTGACCCCTCAGTTAATGGACCCACCAACAGTAAAGTTACAAATATATAAATACAAGATAAATAACGACAAAAACTGTTGAAAATCTCATGAAATCGGCGAGTGGCTTTTCCATGCGGCAACGGCGGCTGCCTTTTGGCTTGAAAGCTTTTTGGCTCTGATTGCCAGCTTTGGGTTTATGCTTATGGAACTCGGATTGGTATTGGGATTGGGATTGGGATTGGGGCTTCGGGCCATGGCTAACTCTCCGAGTGGCCAACTGCTGGACGCTGTCACGGCACTGCGCATATGTTGACATTTTTGCGGGAAATACTTTGAATTGTTGGGTAAATGCATAAATAAATGGACGGCGTGGAGTCTTTTGGGGCTTTCGATTTGCCGCTGGCAAGGAAAGTGTGGGTCTGTCTGCCAAAACTGTTGTGGCAAGAGTCGACTGACAGATATCAAATGACCAATTTGTAATCATTTAACATGCAAAAATTACATGGGGAGAAGCAGACACAATAAATGTTGCCTGCTGGGTATGGCGTATCCATATGTTTTCAAGGGGAATCCCCTCGGGCATTTCACTAATGATGTAAATAGCTGAAAACATTTGCCCAACACGTGAAGAACACCAGAAACTATTTTCGATTCCAGGGAAATATGAATATATGAACATCTTTTGCGGGGGAAAAAGGAAAGTAGTTTGCGGCGGATAATTGCCTGGCGAAATTCAATCAGTTGGCCATAAACATATCCGCTGCAGCAACTCCTAGTTGAGTTAATGACCAGCCGAGGCATCCCGACTTCCTCAACGGCTATAATTTGCATGCAACAACCGCTGCACCGAGAGGGTGTATCTGTCTCTGCATCCGTATCTGTATCTGTATCTGCATCGGCATCGGCATAGCTAATGCATCTGTGGTGGTGCGAACGAGTTATATACCAAAGTGGTGCATGCAGCAGCAGCAACAACAACAATAAATATATATCTTCAGAGGTGTGATTTTAATGTGACAACTTTTGCAACTGGTTCGTGCGTTCGTCCATTCGTTCCTTCGATCGTTTTGGGCTCATTCGACAGGAGTTTTCCACTCTTTTGGCGAGGTGTCACACAGGGAATAGAGGCGTTCGTGTACGAATAATTCCATTAAAGTTTTACGATCGTGCAATATTAATAAAGAAAACTAAGGTATATGCATATGTACATACATATGTATGTACCCCCTTCACGAGAAACCCTACAAAGGCAAGGTGAGCGAGAGGAAAACACAGAGAGAAACACACAGAGATATGGAGGGAGGGGTTTGTTGAGAGGGGTGGGGGCTGAAAAAAACCTGAAACTGGAATTGCAATTTAATAAGTTGTGATCAGTCTCCTCTACCTTGATGATTATACACGTAACTCCCTTTGGGTTCTCATTTATGCATCGCATAGCACTTTGTTTATTTGGCAGTTTTTGCAGCTTCATTTAATTTCCATTTATTTTCGCTTATTCTTCACCTTCTCATTCTCTTTCTTTTCCTATTCTCTGTTATTCCACAGCACACTTTTCTCTACTTTATTTTCACTGCAGGTCGCGTGTGAGTGTGTGCGTCTTCTTTCTCTTTGCCTGCTTCTGCTTCTTCTTCTTCTTATTTTCTTCCTCTTCCTCTTCTTGAACCACAGTGTTATCTTTTTTTGCGCTCACTGACTCACAGGCACTGTGCACTATCTCACTCGCACTCGCACTGGTCACACACAGGGACACGTAGGCAGCGGCGGGCACGCAACGCGATGCGGCGCCTTGAGACTAAGTCCGTTCCAGTTGCGTCCGCTTCGACGCCCGGATGACCGACAGCGACGACGACGACAGGTAAATGGCAACTGAACGCTACACAGCTCGCAGCGAGCCACAGAGTGCCCAGCGATCCAGCAAAAGAGAGGAATCCGCTCTTGCACCACCGCCACGAGTTGGTGAGAGCGTAAAACGAAAGACTCAGGCAACGAACTTGTTGCATTTCAAAGAGAATATTTTGAAATTTTGAAATTTCAACAACTAGCTAATTTATTTTTGTGGAACAAATTAAATGTGTTTTTAAATATTAATTTAAATATGTTAAGGAACTTGAAAAATTGTATTTTATTTAATTATTAGAAATAAAGATTCGAAATCCATTGAAAAAGTCTTCAAAAGTATGCTATGAAATATTTGCAATAGTAATGATCTATAAATTAATTTTTTTTTATGTGTACAAAATCCTTTTTTTTTGACACTTTGTACATAAAATTTATAGAAATTAATGCGCATAATAAAACTATTCGGAATTATGAAAATGAAATACCATTAAATTTAAATTATGAAATCTGGTAATAGATAAAAATATGAAACATTAAACATTTCAATTCTGTTTTCAAAATTTGTTAAATTATGATTTAAATTTATTTTAAATAGTCTTAGAAAACAATTAATTATTATTTATATAAATTATTATAATAATATATATTAGAATAATATATTAATTAACAAGAAATTGTGTATTAATTGTTAAAGTGTTGAATACTTTTAGCATTCGCAAACGGAATTCACCACATTATTAACCATATTCACCTCATTCCCAGGCTCCTTGCTCTCTCACATCACACCTCCCTTCCTCCTCACCTGTTGAACATGTTGTGCTACTTTTATGTTTTTGTTGCTTCACATTGGAGTGTGCGAAAAATTTCCACCTTGGCATAACTAAATATGCCTGTGGGCTAAACTGGCATACGAAAAGAGAGAGCCAAAAGAGCGCCAACGATCTTGGAATAACACCTTAAGAGCACACTCTACCCACAGATACAGAGAGAAAGAGTGAGTGTGTGTGAGCTGGATTACAGGCGCGCATGCTCAGCGCACGCCTCGCACCCTCTCCCTCGCACGCTCGCCTCTTTTGTTTGCAATGGAATTTCTTTCTTTTCATAAACATGTTTCTGGCCGTCGCTGTTGTTGGCTTATTACAGCATTTACGGGCCAAGACGGGTGAAGGAACTGGCGGCGGAGGAGCGCACACTAAGCCAAAGTGGCATGAAACAAGTTCAGCGCGCTCGACAGCTCAACGGCTCTCGGCTCTCCGCAGAGGCTCTACCTCAGCTCCAGCTTCAGCTCCAGCTTCGCTTCTTGAATGACTGCGGCGCTGGAATGCAGTGTTGTAAATAGCTGAGGCTGCTGCAACGCAACTGCGACGCTAGCAGCGAGCCAGATTGTTGTTGATGTTGTTGTTGTTGTTGTTGATGTTGCAGTTGTTGGTTGCAGAATCAGAGCAAGTCGCTGCCAAGATCGCGACAACGATCATCGCAGAGAAGAGCTTGGGCTGAGAACTGGGAGCTGGAGCTGCAGCCTTGCACTGTAAGAAACAGAAAGCAGAAAATTTCATTTTAACTTTTAATTATTACTACCAAATCTCTAATTTGTACTATTTTTTAGACGATAATAAATGAAAATCAGAGAAAATATTTCAACAGCAAACTTGAAACTATTAAAACCTAAATAGATGAAAATTCCCTTTTAAGTATGAAGACTTATTGAACTTATTGGATCCTAACAATTTGCATTTATTAAAAGAAATAAATTATTAAATCGCCGTTTTATATTACTTTAAATGTTTGGTAACGTTAAATACCACTTCTTTAACTAATTTAAGATCTTAATACGTGCATATAAACAATATTGCTTTAAAGACTGGTTAATTATGCATTGCTAGTAACAATTTGAATTTAAATGTAAATTAAATATACATATATTACAAAGTTGTCACCTTGTAAAGATAGTTAAATAAAGATTTCGGTCTGCCTTTAAAAAAAGAAATTAATGAAGTTTCTTGCAACACTCGAAGTAGTTATTTTAACCTTCCTTGCTTCTTATTAATACTTCTGTTGTCCTGAAAAATAAGAAATATATAACCAATTCTGTGATTTCCTTTCTCAGATATTTTCCAGTGCAACTCAAGCGTTTTCTGTTTGCCGGAGCTAAGGCCAAAGCTGGAGCTGGAGCTGGAGCAATGAAAATTGCTGAGAGCGCCCCGAGGGCCTGCAACTTGGATTGCGACTGGACATGGCTCGGGTCTCTTGGTCTCCGGTCTCCGGTCTCCGGTCGCCGCTGCTCTTGACCACGATCGATAAGGCTCACACACACGGTCACAGTTGGGTAAGAGGTTCGTTCGTGTAGGTTATGTTTATGAATTGTGCTGCAGATTTCTGCACACGGAATTATGCGTTTATCTCAGAGGGTTAATTTCGCTGGCCGCCACTCTTATTGTTGCTGTTACTGCTGCTGTTTTCCATAGTCGGGGTAATTAAATCGCAAGAAGCTGATAATATATGGAAAAGGGCTCAAAGTGTAGGGGAAAATGTTTTATTTTTTGCCCTGTGCTTCCTCTTTTTTTCTCTTTTTTTTTGGCCAAAAGGGTTTCTGGCTCTGTGGCTGCTGCTGCTTCTGCTGCTGTGCATTTGCCCGCTAGGAAATTATTCATGATAACAGAGATTGCATTGATTGATTGTGTGGCTGCACTCGGGATGAGTTCGCCGCGGATCGCCCCGGCAGGCTCTGGGCAGGGATCGGGAATCTTCAGAGGGGGAAGGCCAATGCTTCGACGGCTGCCGAGCCTGAGTTATTTGGGCCATTAAATGTCTGTGATTTGGCCATAAGTTATAGGAACATCGACAATCAATTGTTGGCGGGTCTAGGCGGTTACCACATGTGGCAGTAGCTGGCCTCTGGCAACTGAATTCTGAAACTTAATAGTCTTCGAGTGGAATTCGGGAAGCGTAGTCAAAGGAGTAAAATGGTCAATAATTTTAATAAAAATCTTATTTTATTGCTTTTACAAACAAGAGAAATTAGTTTAAGAAATGCATTCCCAGAGCTCATGGGTGGTTTCTATGGGTATTTTATCGGGGGTTTTAGAAAAACATGTTAGAGGTGATGGTAAACTTTAGTTTGAATCAAAAGAATATGGAGCTCTGTATCAAGCTTGGTTTTATATATTCTTTTTTCTTAGTAACTGGCTTTAAAGGCAATCAATGTTAAGCTACCATTTCTTGTGAAATGTTCCTTTTATCTACTAAAAATTTCGCTGCGACTGTGCTGACACTTTGACCTTGTTACCGTCATTTGTGTGTGTTTTAATTGATTGTAATTAAATTACTTTAGTTAAGGGAAAGTCGCATTACTTGGAACCAAAATAGCTGCAGAAATAAACCCAGTTAGAGGGCCTTAAAATATGCAATGAAAACGTTTTTGGCCTCGATTCGGCAAAAGGCAAAGCCCGCCGAGTTGAACAACCCAAAGCCAGAGCAAGGAGTACGGAGGAGGAGCAAGAGCAGGAGCAGGAGGAAGTTATATGACCAAATATTGGCACAAATGAGCGTGTCTTCGGTACATTGACGACTTCGACTTCCCCGAGTTCCGTATCGATCAAACAGGAAATGTACGATTACAGGAGAGATTCCTTAGCGTTCCCCCTCTTGGAGCCATCGAGCTGCCATGGCCACACACTTGCAGTGCAGCAGGGGAAATGCTAATAATGTCTGTGTTTTGGAATCTCGCTGACAGGGCACGACATGGCACCAAACACATTATGGAGGCACACTAAACCATATACATTCATATTTGGGATATATATGGGCCCCACTGAGAGTCTATAAAAGCTTTGGCCTGCGCCAGAGGAGGTTTCAGTTCAACTTCATCGCGTCGTCGTCCTGTCGTCCTGTCGCTCACTCTTTTGCAGGAGCAAAGAAACAATTAAAGTGCAAGCCGCAAGGCGGAAGGAAGTGCATACCACAAGTGTTTCCCCCTGCCCCTGCTCCCTCTCCGTTGCATGTCGGATTGTGGCACAAACTTTTAGCCAAGTCCCTTCCCCAAGCAAGACCCCCCTGATAGGCGCACATGTTGGCCTGTGCAAAGTAAAATGAAAGCGGACAACTTCAACCTCAAGTACGGCGCCCCATTGTACCAACCGAAGAGCTCGAGTTCCAGGAGCCACTCGCAGAACCAACCGCAGACCCACATCGGTAACATCGGCCATCTGACAACGTCCTCGCTGCTGACGAGCGACGACCTGCGTCATCTCGCCCAGCATCGGTCCACAGGATACTCCGACCGCGAGAGCATCGCCAGTGTGAGCAGCGCGGGAGGCCGCATTAAGCGTCGATCGAGGTAATTCCTTGCTTCCTCCTCATCATCCGCAACTGTCAAAGTGCCTGGAGTTGTGGCCTAAACTTGTTCAACTGCAAAACTGACAAAAACAGTTTATCTCAAGTTCTTGGGGGTGAAAAACAAGGCAATTGCATAACAAAGTCAAGTTGCAACATTTGCAAAAAAGTTCTGTTAAAGTTAGAAGCCACTTGAATAAAAGTGCTTACAATTTAATAAAAGTGTTATTATCACAAAGTTCACAAAGACAAATGAGAAATAATGAAAGCTAAAATGAAGGATTCGCCTTAAAGTGATTATATAAATCGATTTAACTGAAAATACAACCGGAAGTAGTCGAGAATTTCTCAAATCAGTGTTTTCATAACCTTTGGCTGTTGATTTAAGTGCATAGAAATTTCTAAAAAGCATACAAATATGTATTGTTTATTGATTAGATTTGAATTTACAAATAATATAAGTATATATATATATATATATATTGGATAACGTTTCTGTGCTAGTTTTTATACGGTTAACAAATCAGCATATTGAGTTTTAAAATATAAAAATTTCCTAATTTTCCCAGATTTTAATAATTTTAACGATGTAACCCCTTATAAAATTTTCAAAAATTGTGCAAAAATTTTTTTCTTCCTAGACTTGTTTAGATCGATCCGGCTTTTCATGCTGATCAAGAATATATATGATTTATAGGATCGAAAATGAGTCCTTCACCAAGTTGTAAGCTCTGATCACTATCATTAACACTATCACTGTTATATATCTGTTAATACTCAAAATATGTTAGTCTCTCAGGTTGGAAGCTATCACTCCCTCTCTGCCGCTCTCCCTCTCTTTCTGTTTTTCGGAATGTCTATCCCCCTCTGTGCATCTTAGAGATAACACTTTCTCTCCATCTCTCTTTGGCTAGCACTCTCTCTCTCTCTCTCTCTCGCTCTGTTAATCTCTTTACTCCGAGACTATAAATACAAGCACTGACATTCCGCTGACCTCATTCTGTTGGCGGCTACCAGTGCGTGCGGATGGACTGCGCTCAAGAATATAATATACTTTATGATTGTTTATATGGTTACTTATACCAAGGCTTCCCCTTCTGTAATATATTTTCAGAAACCTGATCAATTGATTTCTAAACCACAGCGATTTCCTTGACAGCCTCGTTTATGGGGTTATGTGTAACGAATTCCTCCCCAATTTTAGTTTTTTGTTTCCAACTAATGCTAGAATATGTAGATAGCTTATTCCCGATAATAAAACACTTGCTGTGTATGGGTGCCAGGATTCAACAACCCCCGGCAGAGGTGTTAGCTCAACCATGACGCATGCACTCGGTCCCAATAAGCAGGGTTAATTTTGTATTTTGGCCAACAAGTTGTCCTGGCAACGACTGCAACACGAATTGTCCAATTGTCACCCCAAAGGACAGCTTCAGTTTCGCTTTTTCCTTGGCAGCTCAGTTCCGTATTTCCCTTCAGTTGCTCAGCAACTCGGTTTCCTAGTCAAATTCCCAGTTAAAATGTGATCTCAGATGAAAAACTTTCAAGAATCCTGTGTCGTTCTTCCCCTGTAAATTTTAGAAACTTCCCGATGAAGTCCTCGAAGGGCGGCATCAGCAAGAAGAGCAAGACCATGGATTACACCAATTACGCCTACAACGAGGCTGTGGGCCGCCTCAAGGTGATGCTGGCGGATAACTCCTACGTGGCTCCCAAGCTGGGAGGCGGCGCGTCCTCCTATTTGCGTAGTTTCAACGAGGATTCCGGGGACAATTTCTCAGATAATTTATCGGTGGGTGTAAGATCTTAAAGTAGAAAATATATTCTCTAATGAACCACTAATAACCCAGGTAATTGAGCGTCCCGTCTTCTCGGACATTTCCAAGTACTTGTCGCCTAGCCAGAAGACGCGGATGACCTCGTATCGGCCCAAGAAGAGCTACACCTCGGGATATCTATCGGCTTCCAAGGAGAATCTCGCCTCACCGTCGGTCCACTATCCGAGCAGCTCCATTCCGGCTGCCCCTCTTCCAGCGGACAATGTCTCCGCACCCGTAGAGATTTTCAGTTTCATTGAGAAGCAGGAGGACTATATCGAGCAGCTGGAGAAGGAGTCCAAGTACTGCCGCAGCGAGCTAACAAATCTGTTGGGCAAAGTCAAGGACGTTATCAATGAGAACGAGCAGCTCACGGAGAATGCACGATCCGAGCTGGTAGCTCTCGGCTCAGGAAAGACCCAACAGCCGTTGGCCACCACCAGTCCTTCCTCGGACAGTGATGAGCACCGGGTCTACGCTAGTGGCCGAAAGACCCCGACAACTCCCAGAAAGGGTGCTTCCAAGGGGCAGGTTCAGAGCCCCCGCTATGCGAGTGCCCCCAACATTGTCTACGAGGCCAGGATCAGTGAACTGGAGGCGGAGCTGATGCAGGCCAGCATTGATCTGCGGCGTCTCCGCACCGAGAACGAGGAACTCAAGCGGAAGCTCTCCCATACTGATCCTCTCTCTGCGGTGGCTACCTTGGGCTCTGCCGGGGGAGCCAACTGTGAGCTGCACCGCAAGCAGCTGGAGACACTGCAACAGGACAAGCTTAACCTGGAGGAGAGCGTGCGCCAGCTACAGCGCCTCTTGGACGAGGCCAAGGCCCACAGCCAGGGTAGCGCCTCCTCCAAGCGTTATATCAACGATCTGGTGCAGATGGAGCGTTCGCAGGCGGAGCTGGAGGTGCGTCACCTCCGGGATGAGTTGGATCGCCAGCACGAGCGTGTCCGGGAGCTGCAACATGAGATGGCCAGAAGACTGGCCGAGGAGCGTGCCAGCGCCGAGCGTCGCTACAACAGCCAGGTGGATCAGCTGGGTGGCGACCTCAGCTGTCAGTGGGAACAGGTGGCCAAGTTGCAGTTGGACTTGGAGCGGCAGAAACGCTACGAGACTGATCTCAAGCGGGAAGTGGCCAGTCGCAATTCGCAGATCGAGGAGCTCAAGATGGAACTGAGGGCCAATAGGACGACCTTCCTGGCGGATATGGCACAGGTGAATGCAGAGAAGCAGTCCCTGGAGCAAGATATCACCTCGCTGCGTCTTCAACTGGACCGGGCCGCCAGGGAGACCAAGACAGAGGCGGCTCGCCTCACCGCCGAGATTAATTCGCTGAGGCAGCGCCTGGATCGCGGGGATGCCGACTTGCTGCACTCGAAGAGGGAGGTCCTGCGGCTCAACGATGAGATAGCTAACTTGGAAAAGGAGGTGAGTCACCTGATACTTACTTTAAACGTTTTCTTGGTCTGATTACCTGCCCTTCTTAGCTGGCTTATGGGGAGCTAAAGAACGAAATACGACCCACCAAAAAGGACCTGGATAAGCGGATCTCAGAAATGCAGGAAAAGCATGGTATGCATTATTATACTTTTCCAAGCTCACTCTATCTCTATCACCTGTCACAGTCTCTGTCCTACCTATAAACTCTGGTTAAGCTATTGATGCTCATATTGTGTTTTTGCGTGTGTTCCAATATAAATCAAAAATTCACAAGATTAGATCCAATTAAATTCAATTTGAAAATCACCTACTGAAAAAGTGTTCAATAGTTTATCCATGAGTTTTGCGTTGCATATAATCTCTTAATTAAATATATTTAAATCATATAACTAAACCGATCCAATGTCTTGTTGTAGCGGGAACGGTAAATGAGCTTGAGGAAATGATAACATCTCAGAAGCAACTCATGGATAAGCTGACGAGCGAGTGTAAGACCTTAACGGGCAAATTAGAGGATACGACCTACAAGCACAAGTAATTATGATCATAATAAGTACCATTAGCTAATTGCCACCAAGAAACTGCAATTATGTCTGGGTAGCCAGTCTGCTGCACCTCTATTCTGATGGCAATAACATATAATAATTGCAGTTTCATTTAGTTTAATTCGCAAAACACCTTTAATTTAATAATAAACACCCCCTTAGAATGGTATGTGAAATGTTTAATTGAAAGTGTGTGTTGTGTTGTTGAGATATGGAAAACCCAAAGCACTGCGCAATATGAAATTCAAGGCCAAAACCAAAGTTTTTCCCACCAGTTTTCCGACACCAATTTTGTTCCTTTTCCGAGATTCGTTCCACACCAAAAGCAAAATGCAAAAACTAAAAAACAAGACCTAGCTTGAGACTGGATTAACACGCTGTACTTGTACTTCTTCAAACCTTTCTTTTGCTGCCCCGCCTGCAATGCAATTGCAATTTTTCGTGGTAATTAGAACCAATTTGCGATCTTGCGATGCCAGCAGCAAGCGGCCCTTCGACAGCAATATCAACCTCTACGCCAGCAATAAAAGAAAACGCAAACGAGTTCACTTTGCTGCCTGACTTGGAAATGCCCGAATTCATTAGGCCAGCTGATGGCGATGTTGCTGCTGCCGTTGTCGATGGCGATGAGGTCCTGCAGAACATAATCAGGAGCAACGAGCGGCTGGCCATGGAGCTGGCCAAGATGCCGCCGCTCCCGAAGCTCTCCAGCTACAAGAGGCCCAAGGGCAGAGCGGAGACACCAGCAGCATCATCAGCAACACCAGCGACATTGGCAACATCGAAGCCCAAATGCTTTTGCCCCAGTTTTATGCGGCGTACACAAACCCCACACAGCCAGAGCATGCATTGTCACGGGCACGAGCACCACACGCAGCACTCGCCACAGAAACACCACCACCACCACCAACACCACCGCCAGCGCACCACCAAAGCCGAGTCCCAGCAGCAGGAGCAGCTGCATCCGGGAAGCTGCTGCAATCCATGCAAAACGGAGCCGTTGCCTTGGCTGCAACAGCATCTTGTTTTGAATCAGACCCTCAGCAGTGCCACCGCCTGCCAGGCCACGTGTCAAGCCCAGCACTTGACGGTGGATGCTGGCAGCATGGCGGGAGCCACCTCTAACGAAGCACCACCAGCTTGTAGAGGTCCCGGCAGCAATGCCCTAAGTGCCACCATCAAGCCCAAGCTGTATTTCGAGCAGCTCCTGCAGCGGGATACGGGATACGGATGCCACAAGAAGCCACGACCTCCGGTCAAAGTGGATGTCAATGTGCGTTTAGTGCCCAAGCAAGCCAAGCCTAAGGCCACGCATGCGCTGAATGAGACATTCGTGAAGGAGGTGGATGCAGTGGCTCAGGCCCTCAATGAGACTTTTGTCAAGGAGACGACCTCACCGGAATTGTTGGCTCACATCGATGAGCAGCTGGCGGAACTGGAGAATGATCGAGAGCGAGAGCAACGGGAGGATGAGGAGGATGCGGAGGAGCAGGAGCAGGCCACGAAGCTTTGATAGTGTTTTTTTTCTAGTCCACTAAATAGTCTTAAGTTTAAGGTATATTACCTACTTTAAGGGTTGCTTAAGTTTATTTATGAAAAATTAAGTGCAAAGATTTTTTCACGAGCACTTAAGATATGCTTTCCTGCAAAATCGAACTGATGAAGAGATCAATATTTTAATTTCATAAGAATTCATATATTATTTCACAGTGATTTTTATAAAACTAAGTTACTTTTGAATTTAAAAGTTTAGAAAACTAATGTCGATATAAATTTAGATTAATTTGTTTTGTGTTTATGTTGTTCAGATTTGTTTTAAGTTATTATTAGATCATCATGCATTCGTCTTTAAGAAATGTTCTTCTTTGAGTTTTTAACTTCAACAACATTATCATCTTGTATTCTAAACTTGTAATTCTCAATAAGCTTATTTTATTATTGTTTATGGTTGAACCTCATTTGTTTATTAACTTACTTTGCTTTTTTGAACTCCTAGCCAGGAGAAACAGCAGTTGCGTGCCACAAATGAGCAGCTAATGTCACGTCTTAGACAGATTTGGGCCAAGTACAAGTCACAGTTGCCAGTGCACCAGGGAACCCCGGAGCCTAGCTCTGAGGAAAGGCACCCACAAGATACACCTATGGTAAGAATTCGATTCAGAATTTGACTAATATGAGTGTTTTCCTCTTTCTTTCTTCCCTCTACTTTTTTTCTGTCTTTCTCTCTCTTTCTCTAACTCTATCTTCAACTTCCCTATCTCTTTCACTTTAAAGAGAGGAAATATCCGCTTTACAGTCGAATCTAGAGTATCTGTCCAATCGCATGTTGAGTAATGAGGAGCATATGAGTAAATTAGATACCTCACCACATGATTATACTAGCTTAGTTCCCGGAAAAGGTAAAGTTAGAGTCCTGAGTTAGAACACCGAAGAAAACACTATTCCGAAGGGGATATAAATCTTTAGATTTAACTCCTATTCGGTGTAGAATAGTTTAATTTGTTCGGTGTTGATATGCCAAGTAGAGCACTTCCCACACAAGACACCTGCAATGGTACAAGACCTAACCCGATTTCATCACTCCATCAGAGCCGGAAGACCAAGTCGAGGATGCGACGGATGAGACCGGAAATGACCAGATCGCAAACCCAATACCGATACCGAGACAGATCTAGATTCATTGGACACTTTACACTCTCACACTTTTAGCATGTGATTGGCGCCACTCTAATCAAAATTCTTGTACTCACACAGCCGCTTACGACTACCAGGCAGCGACATATGGCACCACAATCGAACCCATACAAAGCACCCCACAACCACACAACAGCGCCGACGACGACTACACGGTTGGATCAGGATCTGGAGCAGGAGCAGGAGCAGGATCAGGCATCGGAACAGGATCCGGAGCAGGAACAGCTGCTGGCGGCGGAGCCAGTGCTTCAGCAGCAGCAGCTCCAACAGGACGCAAGAGCAGCCTTAGCAACGGCAAGGGTCTGCTCTCCGACTATGGACTCCACGATAACGATGACGAGAATCTCAAGGACAACCTTGGCCTGGGCGAAAAGCAGCAACAGCAAAAGCAGCAGGAGCAGGAGCAGGAACGGCAACGGGAGCGGGAGGAGCGAGACCGGGAGTTGCAGCAACTACGTGAGCAGCGGGAGAAGCGCGAAAGGGAACGGGAGCGGGAACGGGAACGAGCCGAGCAGCCCGACCAGCAGCAGGCGGAGCAGCAGCCGGCACCAGGACTGGCCGAGAGCAGCATTGCCAATGCCGGTAGCGCCAACTTGGCCGCCTACAACACCGACTACAGTGCCTACGACCAGCAGCAGTACGAGGCCGGAGCCTACGATCCCAATGCCTATGCCCAGCACCAATACGAGGGGCAGCAGTACGACTATGGTGATGCCGGTGGAGCCTACGACTATGGAGCAGCCGACTATGGACAGTCTGGATACCAGTATGACGCCTCGCCAGCAACCACCGCTGCCGTTCAGCCTCAGTCCCAGCCGCAGCAGTACCAGGCGCCAGTTGCTCCCCAGCGAGTGGCCACGGATTACAACAGATCGCCACCGCCGATGGCAGCGGCGACAGCGGGCATCACGTCCCCGCCAGGCACAGCCACTGGATCAGCAGGAGGAGCAACAGGAGCAGGAGCAGGAACCGGGTCAGGAGCAGCAACTGCAACAGCACCGGCACCATCACCTGCCGGAGCGAGCCGACCACAACCGCGCCCGGGCAGTGGAGCTTTGGGGTCAGCAGCTGCTGCTGGAGCAGTCGCCGGCGGAAAATCCGCTCTGCCACAACAGTCTGCCCCGACAGCCGCCGGCAAGAAGTAGCTGGAGTCCCGTTAGCGAGGACCTTCTGCCGCTGGAGTGCTCGATTAGCAGTCCCAGCCTAATGCGCTCCTCCAACGATGAGACCTGCTCAGAGCTGGCCGATCTCAGTGAGACCTATCTGATCCTGCCCGACGAAGGCTCCGAGGAGAGTCTATCTCCGGCTCATACTACCATCATAACGGCGCGGAGGTCAAGTGCTCCGGCCGTGGTCCAGCAGGAGGAAGCGGTCAACGAAACGGTCATCATCGAGCGCCATTTAGATGCCCACGGATAGAGGGGTCAGCACCGAGTTCTCCAGCAAAAAAGTTTCTTCAGTCAACATACGTACTTCTACTCATGTGTTCCAGGACAAAACAATAAAGGACATTCATGTTTTTTAACTAATAAATAAATTCGAAATCTGAAATAAAAGCAGAAAGTGGTTTTTAAAGGTGTGCGATCCAAAAGTTAGTGAAATCTTGAAAAGTGAGAATAGTGTAGTGTATTTATCTATTATAAAGTATACATATTGATGATAAAGGCTACATTAGATATCAGGATAGATTAAGTCACTCATCGAACTGAGTAATGAATAATTGAAGACTTTATCCCTTGTGATTGCATAATACTCAAACGTCGCCGTCACTTAAACTTGGCAAACACTTTCGCAATAATTAACTTTTCCACTTGCTTAATTCCCGCCAGTAATAACTATTAATGTTGGAACTAATAAACAACTCCATGATGTTGGGCCACGCAACGCTGTCAAAACAACTCAAACGATAGGCAGCAAGGACATCCTGGCGGACATTCTTCATATCCTGACTGACAGGCTCGTCAATTGCCAGCGACAACCAGGCCAGGCACACTCATAAAGTGCCGAAATAAAATGAACTTGACTTTGACTTTGGAGCTTTGCGTTTTGTTCCCGTGCGTTTCCGATGATTGTAACTAGTTTTATTGTGTTTGTGGAGTGAGTAGGATGATTTAGGAGCCCTCGGGATAAGCGGTGGCTATCAGCCGCATCCCATTCCAGTTCCATCCGTGTGAAACTATGGTGGCATGAGCTCGTCCCAGCTGAATGTGACAGGGTTCCTCCTCCGCCGTTGTCAGGAAGCAGCCGGTGTACAGGCTCAACTCCAGCTCCGGCGACGTGCCCACAAAGAAACCATTGACCGGCTTCCGAATGTTGTGGAACGTGTGCCGCACACTGAGTAGCATTTGGTTTTTCTGGAAGAGATTGCCGAATTAAAATGGGTTTTATAAGCCACCTACAACTCACCTTTCCCATTTCCTGATGACTCAACCAGCCCTTGTAGTCCACATTGCCTCGCTGCTCCTGGTCAGCAAAGTATAACCAATTGTGCAGTCCCAGGACCTTTTGATCTCGAAGCTCTGCCATGAAGACATGCTCAAAGCTGGAACTACCCACTATGCCACGACCCCGGGAGTAGGGTGTGAACCAGAGGTCCTGCAGCAGGCGCAGTTGATCATCATATTCAGTGCTCACAATATCTGTAGAGGAACAAAATTAAAAGCATTAGTTCAAGGTTTAAACCCAACTAGAGCACACTTTACCTTTGTTTACCAAATATCGCATGGTCAACTTCATCACTCGAGTATTCATTACCGTCCTGAGAAAGTCATGCTGCTCCTGCAGGTGCTCTGGGGTGGAGACCTCAGCCACAGCCACATCCAGTTCGTAATTGTCAAATAGACGCATGAGAAGAGCTGTCGTGGAATTGGCATCTCTAGCCAGCAGATCTTGGTGTAATTCAAAGAGACTGAATATAAATTTAATTAAAATACTATAGTTGAAAATCTTCAAACTTTCATACACTCACTTCTTTGGGGCCCGGTCATCGTGGGCGCCGGATGTGGTCTTTCCCTGGAGATTCACCTTGTAAAGATACGGACTGACCTCAGTCTCTTCCGCATAGAGATTCTTGGAGAGGGTCAAGACATCGTCGGGCGTTCTGGGCAACGGTTTGCTGTGGAAGTACTCTTAAAAACGACAAGATATTTAGTTGGCTACCCGTTCTCTTTGGTAAGAGAGCAAAGTGCTTACCGTAAAAATGCCAACTCAAAATGCCAATGGTGATCAGCAGGCCAACGATTACGAATCTCTTCAGCTTTTGGCATTTGTCGCTGTCGATGTTGTTGTTTACTGTTTGCTGCTGCACTGCGTCCATGGCGGAGTAATCTAATTATCTAATGGCAATTGGACAAACATTTGTTTTGGGCCCCGTTTATCTTGGCCCGAACATCCGCACGCTCTGCTCTCCACTGCAGATCGCTGTACAGCTGCTTATTCCGAACCCGTCCGCGTCCAAGTGCCCACTGAATGGACGTCTGCTCCAACTTGGAGCGGATACGTGAGCATGTGAGATGGAGAGCATGAGAGCAGGGCCCCCCAAAATGTGGATAAAACTTGGGCATTCTCGGCTCTCTCTTGGGGATCATCTGCTGTTTGTTTTCGCCGTTTGCTTCGCCAGCAGTTTGTTGCTTTTTACTGTCCAGGAGCGGACTCATTGGACCCCCTGTGTGTGTTTTGTGTATATATTTGCTAAGGCCAGAGTTTCATCAAATAAAATTTAATATAATAACATATGGTACTAGGTATATAACCCATTTTCACGTTAAAGAGAGCTAAAGAGCTAATGAGAGACTGGGTGAGCTTAAGTTTTATGACCTATGACTTCATATATTTCTATTATATTTGACGCTTTCGTGCGAAGTTTCTCAAATTTATCAAACTAATTTCTCACACTTAAAGGAACTTAGGTTATTATTTTTCTTTTTAAATAAAAAATGCAGCTTAGTTCTTTATCATCACAATATATTTATTCCCTTGCGGGCTATTACAATTTTAATAAAAACTTGATATGCAGATTTATTAACAAAGTTTCCTCAAGTAAAATAAATGTTTTTTTTTGTGGCTGAGTTTTTTTTTTAACCTTGATAATTATAAATATCAATTTATAGAATGCAAATATTTCATAAATTTTTGAGGCTGACAGATGTAGGATTGATTTTTTTCCTACAACGACATAAGACAGGTGACCAGCTAGATTATTTGGCTCTTCAATTATGTATTTCCATTTATACTTATTAATAATTCGCCACAACGTGACCAGAATAAGCCAGTTGGAGATACTAAAGCAAATAATTTAATCACGCAATTAACAATTTATTTGTTTGACCAAATATCGCGTCATTTGTATTGCCGTCTCGACTGCAAAATAATTACGCCCAAATGGAGTCTAAACAATAGTCCGTCGCACAAAAAACAACCAACAGGAAGCTGTGACGTGACAAGAAACACTATAAATATATACAATTTTATACAAAATGTTGCATAAATGAACAATTAAATTATAAGTGTGAAAGCTCGATTTGTCAATGAATTAATTTGTATGGTCAAGATACTTTTTATATTAGTTTTATGCTAAGTTATAGGCTTTTGAACTTCCAAATGAATTTTCTACAATTTAATGGAATATAATTACTGTAGAAGTAAGAAACAACTATTTATTACTTAATGGCATGATGTTTTTTTTGTGTCTGCAACATGCAAAACTTTAATTATCGTTGAAGTAGTCTTAAAGAAAAAGCAAACAAATTGTTTCACACGAAAATATATAATAATTGACACAAGTAACAAATTGTCGCTTGTTTGGGAATTATATAATTATTGTGGCTAAATTTTATTAGCATTCGAAGCACCCTTTACAGGAAATCTTCTTTATTGTTAAGTAAAAATTAACTTGTTTGGGAAGTAAATTTACATTTCATACTTGTTTGATTTTCCTAAACTCTGCTTTGTTTGCTTTTATTCGCTAATCGTTTGATTTTCACTTGAATATACTTTGTACTTTTTAAAGAGATTGTTTTTAGAGTGTCATCAAATACAAATCTAATCAAAGTCGCAGTAAAAACATCTAAGCTTGAACTTTTATTTGACAATGATTTAAAATTTTCCATCTATTATTATTTTGATTAAATAAATAGCATGAAAATAATCTTGAGTTTTCTTCTAGAATCTTTGGAACTATTAAATTAATCATGAAATTTTTGGAAAAGATAGAGCATGTATTAAATTAGTTTTTCAATAATTAATATTTAAGCTGCAATCATAAAAGCTTCACAGATAAGAACAAATAAGCATATAAATTAGATTTTGTTTGGTAATACAAAGAAAAATATGTTTAGCTCAGCTATGGAGACACAATTGAGAGTTCCAGCACTTCTCTGGGGCAGATCTATCTCGAAACACATCTGAAACCTGTTCCTATTTCGTTCCATCTAACGTCTGTAGCTGCGATCAGCCCAAGGGCTTAGAGCGCGTGTTCATTCTATTGATTAGTGCATTAATTATGTTTTTAAAGTATTCCCCCAAACATTCTCACGCAATATATACTCGATTTGGGGTAATATGTAGCCAGGCCATGTCTATGTATACTTTCACCCAAAGCTGACCCCAAGACCCCCTCGTCTATGACAGTGCCTCGGTTTTGTCTTCATTGATAGCAACCGAAGATTACCAGTTCGGGAACTTTTTGTACACAAAGGCGTTGCTTGGTGGCTGTGGCACTCGGGAATCTTTTATAAGGCACCCGCGGGTCAGGCACTCTGTTCAGTTTGAATTTTAACGGCGTCGTGTGCAGTTGCTCGGCATTTTAATCGGAACGATCCCAGTGAGTGTCAATTGAATTCTAGTGTTCTATCGTATCCCTAGATGCAAATATTATTAATTGGCCTGATTACACTCCCCAATTGTCAGTCCCAATGAGTGTACAATAAACAATTATGGTGGTATTGTGTGGTGTGACATTCGGCTTTTGTTTGTTTATTTTTCTATGCTTCCCGGGTCTTATTGGGTATCAAGTGGTGGGGTCTGTTCCGTTAGTGATAGTGAATTGCAAAAGTTATAAAAATAGTAGAAGCACATTGATTATACAATTGATAATGCGGACTTGTTTGTCTGGAATTGTGAGAGTATTTGGTTCGGGCATAATCGCTTTCTTTGATAAGAGTTACCGAGGTAACAATCACAAGAAAAATAAATAAATTGATTGCATTAGTAAAGATCATTGTTAAAATCTGAAATTTATAGTTAACGAATTCAAAGATTAAAATGTACTCTTAAAATCCTAACATTTTCAACAAAGAATATAAGTCGCTCCATAAAATTTTATAAAAATGGGGTATTATTACAGCCTTGAAGGGTATAACTCAGTGAAGGAGTCATTTCCGACACCATAAATTATATATATTCTTGATCAGAATCGAGTAAGCAGATTTCTTAACATTATAAAAACTAAGACAGAACATCTTTCCAAATTAAATGTAATGAATTTTGGCTCATTTAACATTGACTTACTAATAAAAATAGTCATTTAAAAATATTGATAAAAATCGATTTTAATAATGCTTATTAATAGCCCCCAAATGTTTAAAAGTTTGTTATTTTGTTATTAATATTTAATTAAATAATAAAAATTAAATACTAGTCCTGATTAATTTAATATTGTATTATTAGTATTATTACAAAAATGTTGTCAAAGTCAAGGAGTGGTCTTTAAAAAAAAGTTTATTTAATTCATGTCTTATTTTAACAAGTTTAACACGTATAAAAAAATACAAATGATACATAAAATGGTTGTTTTTACAATCAAATAATTAATATGTCATTTTAGTTTAAGTCTGTGAATTTCTGGGAAAGGTTTCCTAATTAAATTACCACTTCTAGCAAAATTATTTGAAACTTTTTTTGTTATTTTTATTTTATTTTGAATTAAGCACCAGCTGAAATATTTATGTAAGCTTTCTGCCACTTTAAGCTTAAACTTCTGAGAGAGAACTTTGGCAAAGCGTACGTTAGACTGCTTTTTTTTTATAACTTTGGAAGGTCTACAGGTGGCATTTGGGCCCGTTCAGATTTGGGCCTCCTGGGCTTCCCGGTGGAATCGGATTTGGCACTTATTATTAGATGGGTAAGCCTTATAGGTAAAGCATTCGCAGGTGTGTGTTTTACCTGAACGGAATGTCAATTAAGAGGACAGGTGGGGCACCCCTTAAGGCTACGCCTCTGTTGGGGCTCACTCTATCTCTTGTTTTCTGACAGCTTTAACTCAATGCGGTTTTGGCGGGCACTCAAAAAAATTCTCGCTCTTCACAATTCTACGCCGGCATGGAGAAGACTATTCGCTCTTTGGCTCAAACCGAAAGCCAAAAGCTCAAGTTTTAACCAAAAAGAGCTCATATTGTGGCAGAACTTTGCTTGAAGCTGTTAATTAACAGAAGTTATTTTGGCATAAAAGATATATTAGCAACAGGGAACGATATTCCGGACAAGATCAAATTATGATGTTTATTAATGGCATTGTTTTAAGTCTGTGATTTTATCTTTACTCCTATGAGTTTTAATTTTTAATTATAGACTATCTTTACAATCAATATAGCATTTTTATAAATTAAGCTTCGCAGTTGTAATACAAACTATCACTGGTTTACAGTTTTCTTTTGTCGCGCCAATGCATCGTTCCCTATAACTCATATACTCTGTAAGCTTAGAAAGTTAACAGAATTCTCTCTGAGAATAACAAATTGAGTAAAAGTTTAAGCTTTCGTATTGGGAGAGCTCAGAGCTCCAAATCTAAGACCCATAGCCCCAACGAGTGTAAATGCAATATGTGCTTTCAGTCCCGTTTTTTAGTCGTCGGTCTTCGGGCGTAAAAAATTCGCCAGAAAAATATTTAAAAGAAAAAAAATTGTAAACAAATACAGCAGCGGTTCAAACTAATTGTTTAATTATAAATTATAAATTACATTATTTTTCAAAAGTGCGAATATTTAGTCAACGATTTTTAAGCTTGCAGTGGTTGAAATAAAAGAGAAAAATAGTAAACAAAACACAGCAAAAGCGGGACCAGGAAATAAAAAATAAATATAACGAAAGTGCGAGCAACAAATTGAACGATAGTGGAACGCTAGCGGAATTATGAAAGAATTGGGTGAATAAAAGCACACGGCAAAGGCAAACGCAAGCGAACTGTAAATACGCGTTGCGTTTATCTATCTTCCGCATCTTCCGCGCTCAACAGGCAACAGCTGATTAACGCTCTTACCGTGCGTTTCCCTTCCCCCACCCCCAACTATATATATATAAATATTGTATATATATATATAT